TCCCATACCAAACCCAAAGCTAAATCCAAAACACAGCACTCATCTAGTCCCTGAAAAGGAATATTAACTCTATTTCAGCCCAAACCAAGACATCAGGCTAAGCGAGGATGGGAAGCATCTGCTCTCCTCACCCTGCATTTGCAGAAGGTAGCCAAGGCAGACCAATGCCTTCTGGCAGGACATGGCCATGCAGTCGGTGATCAGATGTTGGAGAATGGCTCAGAGACAAGGGTCCTGAGCCCACCGAGCAGTTGTACGATCAGAGCCTGTTCTAGGGCTGATGCTGCCTCGCTGATGCTGGGCCTCACTAGGGTTTGCCTGCAGCTGCTCGCAGCTGCTGATACAGGAGGAATGTCAAGGATGCTTCGGCCTTGTGTACCGTGGTGTGTCGAAAACAGGTTAAGGGGGATTAGGAATAGTGGTCTGAGAAACCTAGTGTTATGATAACGGTGGTCTGAGAAACATTGTGTTACGGTACTGTCGTGTATCGAAAACAAGTCAAGAGGAATCAGAAATAGTAGCATGAGAAACTTAGTGTTATGAGAAGCTTGTGCTGTAAGCTAACTGCAAGTAGTTGGACCGTGCGAATACGACCTTTAGAGCTTAAGCCAATCAGCTAGTGAGTAGTAGGCATAATAATTATCATTGTCTGTATAAATATATGTACCCTGGACCAATAAAACACACGTTGATTGATGCTCTATCTTTCACACTGAACCCGTCTCGGCGTGTCGTCGTCCGCGGCTCCGCATGGAAGAACATGAAAAACACCACCAGGGGACCAGGCTGCAAAGATTAAGGTGGCCCAAGTAGATCTGGACTGGCAGCATAAGGGCGAAAAATTTATGGCTCATTGGGCCCATGATCCTCGGGCCATCAAGGAAGAGACGCAACATATAGATGGGCTCGTGACCGAGGGGTGGACCTAACTGTGGACATTATATCACAGTTATCCGTGACTGTGAGACATGTGCTGCAATCAGGCAGGCCAAGCGGTTAAAACCTCTTTGGTATGGAGGGAGATGGTTAAAGTATAGATATGGGGAGGCCTGGCAGATTGATTACATCACGCTCCCACAAACTCGGCATGGTAAGCGTTATGTGCTCACAATGGTAGAAGCAACTACCGGATGGCTGGAAACATATGCTGTGCCCCATGCCACTGCTCGGAACACTATTCTGGGACTTGAAAAACAAGTCGTGTGGCGGCATGGCACCCCAGATAGAATTGAGTCAGATAATGGTACTCATTTTCGAAATAATCTTATAAACACCTGGGCAAAAGAACATGGCATTGAGTGGATATCATATCTCCTATCATGCCCCCGCCTCCGGGAAAATTGAGCGGTATAATGGGCTACTAAAGACCATGCTGAGAGCAATGGGAGGCGAAACTTTTAAGCATTGGGACACATTTAGCAAAGGCCACCTGGTTAGTCAATACTAGAGGATCTGCCAACCAGGCTGGCCCTGCCCAGTCAAACATTCTGCATATTGTAGGTGGAGACAGAGTCCCGGTAGTGCACCCTAAAAACATGCTGGGGAAGACCGTCTGGGTTATACCTCCTTCAGGTAAAGGTAAGCCCATACGTGGGATTACCTTTGCCCAAGGACCCGGGTGCACTTGGTGGGCAATGCAGAAGGACGGGGAAGTCCGATGTGTGTCTCAAGGGGACTTAATGTTAGGTGAAAATAGCCAATAAGCTGTATTAGATTAGTCACCACACCACCCTACCAATGCTTTGTTATGGCAAACATGAACGTGGATGAAAATAGGACTGGTTCCAGCAACTGATGCCCAGCGACTGCCGCAGACTGTGAATACAGACACCATCAGATGCATCAGCTCCAGTTGCAACAGAGACTGCATGCCATCCTCCTGTCAAGTCCAAGAACACTTCTGCCCTACTGACTGAGCATGGCTCCTCCTGCCTGAAGGGACTGTTATGACAGATGGAACCTGAAGCTATGGACCAAGTCAACTCATGATACATCCTGCAGTGATGGACCATGGACTGAGGAAATGGCATCTGTATGCGTATGTCTTTGACCAAGGAAGAGGATTGTAAATAACAATAATGTATTAGAAATATGGAACGTGAGATAAACTGTTTTTATCTCAACCCTCAAGACTCCCTTTGCCCCTCCGATTCCCTCCCCATTCCCAAGTAGGGGGAGGGTGGGTGAGCGGCTGCATAGCGCTTAGCTGCCAACCAGGCTCAAACCATGACAAAAGCCCACAACACTCTGCAGCCAAGTTTGCAAGAGCAAATCTGGCCCTAAAGGCTAGAAAGCTACGAGTGTCTCACCTTGTTTAAATCCACTGCGCTGGACTCATGGTTCACCCCATTTTTAGGTTTTGCAGTAGTGGCAGGAGGATGAGGGGGGAGCGTTTGGGCTGGTGGGAAAAAGAAAGACACTGAGAAGATGGAAAAAGACCAATTGGGAAGCTTCTCCTTTGCCAGGAACCCTCCCTGCCTTGGCGAGGGGGTGCAGCTCTGTCTGTCTCTCTCCCCCATCACCAAACAAGTGGGCAATGGGGACAAGGTTGTTTATTTCCTTCTCATTCTGTGGCGATGCTTCTTCAAGAGGACTTCTCGAACTTTCACCCGCATGCCCTCGTCAAACTCCGTGGACTGTTCCTGCCGGGCCAGGATCATATCTGGGGATGGCAAAGGGAAATGAAGCCGTCACAGCAGAAAGCCCCTCTGAGTCCTGACCCCCGAAGACTCCGGGCAAGGCCGTGCCACACAGGACACCCTAATGCAGGCTCAGCCTTGCTTAGCAAGACATTTTATCACAATTCATCCTTTGCAGAAAAAGCAAGAATTTTCTTTTGCTATAAACAGCATCAAAGTACATGTTCATCACTCCGCTAAGGTAATTATTTCCCATTCTAAATAATGCAATTTTCTTGCCTGATCTGGCCTTTCGGTCTGATTCTACACATTTAAGAAAACTGGAAGCAATCTATAGTGGAGACTTTCCCAGAATTTCCTTGTCCAATCAACTGCAAGTTCATGGCGCCCATGGTACCTGCAATCTGTTTGATGCTGTTGCCACAAATGTCCAGCAGCATTGTGCCACTGAGGATGCAGCTCCTCAGCTCAAAGAGGCTGTGCAAGGACAGCGTGACATCTTCCATGTCCTCCGCAAACTTCAGCCATCTGTGGACAGCAGGTGCCATCAGCCCCATTGCAAGGAAACAGCCCCAGCTCTGCAGCCCCTTGGGTAGAGCTGTGGGGTGGCAAGAGGAGAAGGCTCCTCACAGCAGCACCTGCAGCTGCAAAAGCTTCGCCTGCCAGGGAGCAGACAGCAGAGCCCGCGGTCGGTCGGCACCAGGACTCCTCTCCTACCGCAGCCGGCAGCAGAGATTTACCTTGCCCTTTCCTTCCACTTGGCATCTCCGCCCTCTTTCACACAGATCTCATCCAGCTCGGTGAACAAGCCATGGGGGACATGCTGCTTGTCCTCCTTGGTCCTGAGGATGAACTGCACCCGCTGGGACAGGGTGTCTGGGGGCAGAAGACAAAGCGTGGTCCCGTTACCACACTTGAATCCGGCCCGACATGCTCACATGCAAAGTGGGCATCGGCTCAGCACCAGTTCAGCCATAAATATTGGGCTGGCCCCTCTCCCCTGGGTCTGTCCAGGTTTGCACAGAGCCACGGAGAATGAGAAGCATCGATTCCGCCTCTGCACAAGGATGGGCAGCTTTCCTGCCCCCCATTTCCATTTGTAGAGCCAGGATCCCTTGAAGGAAGGCACCCCTAAATCCATTACGCATTTAACTGCTGTAAAGAAAAAAAAAAAAACAAACTGGGAAAAGTTTGAAAAAAGGGAGTCTTGCTAAATAATATCACTTTTCCTTGGAAGAACAGCAAGTCTCTCCAGCTAGCCACATGGACCTGTGTGCAGAAGACCCCAGCACCCACGGAGCCCCAAGGAATTTAGTGAGCACCGCAGCGGGACTTCCAGTGGTAGCCCTGCTCCGTCGGGGCAGAGTCCTTCTCCCAGGCCTGTTCCTGATGCTTCTGCCTGCGGGGTCGGTAGTGCCAGTGGCTCTGCCTCAGCAGCGGCATCCGCACGCCCACAGACAGGGTCCAGTGGGCTGCAAAAAAACAGCATTTGCAGCACTCTCGATATTGCGGGGAGGGTTGATGCATATGCCATGGCTAAATCAGTGCAGCCACCCCAGAAGGAAACACCAACTTCTCTTAGTTTCCACTGGATCTCCGAACGTCACAGACCTGTCCTTTTTCCAAGCCTGTTTCACTCCAGCTTTGCAACAACAAGTGATGGCTCTGGGCCATTTAAAAGTGCCCTGAAAGTATTGAACCTCTTCCCAAATTCCAGCTATGGCTGGACAACACTTAGACTGGATCACTAAGCAGTAACAGAAGGTAATTATTTTTAAAATCTTTGTATGGCACAAGGTGACAAGAGAAGGTCAAATCAGCCCCATGATAAATCACAGCCCCACATCTGCAGCTGTCAAATTGATCTCCTGACCTCTCCAAGCCAGGAGCAGCCGCTGCGAGGAAACAAGCCCTGAATTATCCAGCCCCGTGGCGAAAACTCACACCATGGCCTCAGCGGGGGCTTTTTCCCTCTGTTTAAAAAGCCATAGTAGTAAACAGTATGAAAATAGTTGTGCTGCTTTTTTAAGAAACATGGCACGTTTTGCTGCACGTTGATGAGCAGAAACAAACTTTACAACTCACAAAGAGTTATAAAGCAGGTATGTTTATTGCAGCACTGGGTGCAAGGGGTATCGCTCCTCCGAGCTTGCACCCCACATCATGAAGCAGGCATCATTTATGATACAAAAACATGCATATTCATTAGTATAGGCTGGGTTATTACAATTACTTCTAAGAATAGGTGTGATTATTATAATTATTTCTGGGAACTCATTATCCTGTCTCCTCCTCTTGCTGTGTACTGCCATCCGGAGGTTGTGAGCCGGGGTCTTTTGGAGGAGGCTCCTAGTCTTCTTCACCGTGTACTCTTCACCTTTCTCCCAGAATGCCGAGTTACTTCAGCCAGTAACCGCAAAACTGGCTCCAACCAGATGGCTCCTTGCAGATGCTGTAATTAACAGATGGATATCCTGTTATCTTTCAAGGCCTCTTACAACAGAAGTTTCCTATCATCTTTCACGGTCCCTTATAATGAAGTTTCTCATTATCTTGCTGACTCATTCGTCAGGGTGACAATATTTTATTAAGTATTCACTTTCCCATATCAACGTGAGGTGACACCGAGCAAGGGCCGTCGTAGGGACTTTGTGGAGTGGGAAAAAGTGCTGGGCTGGTGGCCCCTCTCTCAGCATCTCAGCAGAGACTCACCTGCCAAATCCTCCTTCGCACAGTGAATCCTGATGACACTGCTCACTCGTCCCCGGTCAGTCACTGCCTCTTTCTCATGTCGTCTCTGTTCAGCAATGAGAAGGTGAAAGTTGGGGCTGGGGGTACAGGGCTCTCTTACGTCCCCCCAGCCATCACCCACTCCTGCCCCCACACAAGTCCAGGAGGCCTCTGTGGGCCTCCTCCAGGCTCGGCCCGAAAAACTCAGACTTGGAGGAGCCTTTTCTTTCCCTACCCAGGTAAAACAGCCCGTGACATCACCGACATTGTACACAACGTAAGGCAGGAAGTATTTACTACAGGGGGAGAGGGCTGAGGGTTTCAGACCAGAAAAACAATCCTCCTGCTTTGCTCTTGTGCTTCCTTTCTAAACAAACATACAAATAAAAACCAACCAAAAAAAAAAACCACACACACAAAAAACCCCCCTCAAAACAAAAACAAAAACACCGACCAAAACCAGATTTCCAAACTGGGGGAAAAAGATCCAAACCCTGCACTTTTTGTCACAGCAACGCGATCCCTGCAAGACTCACCAGATGGCACTTGGCCCCAGGACATGGCCACCAACAACCTCCAAAGGCCCTCAAGAACCTTCACAAGGGTGAAGCTTCATCTTCAGCCCAATGAGGCTCAGGCTTCCCTTGGTGTAAGCGTGCTTTCTACCAAAACCAGGGGTTTTCTCCTCACAAAAGCCAAGGGCTGAGAGCAAACACCCTCCTTGCCTGAAACACCACTGCCGCCACTGCATGAAGAGCAGCCGTGCCTTTAGAGTCGAAGCGGAACTACAGGAAAAAACAGAAATAAGTCTTTTTGCTGCTCTTTGCACCTTGCCACCTGGGCTGGGGAAGGGGATGACCAGGATTACCATGTTTAAAGCAGTAAAATCCCAGCCAGGTCTCACACTTGAGTTGTAACTGCGGCTTTGAAAGGGCCTCCTGGAAACCTTGATATCTTTTGTCCTTTCTTTCGGCTGCACTTTTAATCACTATGCATGTCTTAAATATAAAGAAAAGACATCATTGCTGCTTGGTTTCTCCTTCTTTGCATTCTTACACAGTGACTAATCCAAGAAAACCAAAATTTGTTCACCCATGCAGAGAAAAAATGCACGGCTCGAACACCCTTTAGTTTTCATTGGTTTTCACATTATTCCTTTATTAAAGGCACAAAGGGCAAGGTTTGGGACTGCTGAATTGCTGAGGTTCGTCTCTGCAAGCCTGCTGCCGTCATCACAACCATCAAAAACTGTTCAATAAAAATCCACTTGCTCGAGTTCTGAAACTGGAGTTTGAAGAAGAGCACAACCCCAAGCAGCCGGATGAAGCTGTGGGGCTCCTGGCTGGAATTGGCGGAGCAGGAGCCGCCCCGGGCGCGGGGAAGCAGCCCCGACCCCCCCGAGCTGGGATTTTCAGCGCCAGCTCCCAGCGCTGCGCAGGCCCCCGCTGCCTCTTGCCCCAAGAACGAGGCCCCAGCCGAGCAGCTCGGGGCTGCCCCCCCAGCCGTCCCTCGGGGCGGCCAAATCAGCTCCTCGAGGGGCTTCGGCCGGGACCCCGGGCTGGGGCCTGGGGCGGGCAGGGAAAGGGCCGGGACCCCCCGGCTCGCAGCCCCCCCGGGCTCGGGGCTCCCCCAGCCCTTGCCGGCGGCTCCCAGCCCCCCCGCCAGCCCCCCCCGCCCCACTCCCCAGCCCCGGGGCCGCCCGCAGCCCCCCCCGCCCCACTCCTCGGCCCCCCGAGGGGCTCCGAGCCTTTCCCCAGCCCCACTCCCCGGCACCCCCGGGGCCCACCCGCCGCTCCCGGGCCCCCCGGGGGGCCGCAGCCCCCTTAGCCCCCTTCCCAGATGCTCACAGCCCCCCAAAGCACGGAGCCCCCCCCAGCCCCAGCCCCACTCCCGGGCTCCGCAGCTCCGCCCCCCCCCCCCCCCTGCTCCTCCACCTCCGACAAAGAGCGGGTCCCACCGCGCGCTCCGGCCCCGCCCCCTCCGCAGCCAATCAGCGCGCGGCTCCCCGCCCTCCCGCGCGGGGCATGCCGGGAGTTGTAGTCCCGGCCCCGGGATGCACGCATGCGCACGGCGCCCGGTGCGAAGGGGGCGGGCGAGCAAGGAGCCGCGTGCAGGGTCCTCGTGTAACGGGGGTGTTTGTGCAGGGTCCTCGTGCAAGGCGGGGGTGTCACCTCCCTTCCCCGTGTGATTTTACGCCCCGTGTCGCCGCTCGGGGCACGCCGGGCAGTTCACCTCTGTGCTGAGCGGCGCTGGGGGGGAAGTTCGTCAGAGCACATGGATTTGTAGGATGGAAATGACAGATCAGCTCAGCTCAGAAAATCAAGGAGAGCTGGAGGGAGCGGGGATATTCCTGAAAATCGTAACCAAAAAACTCCCCAAGCCAAATGAGAGTTTAAAAATCCAACGCTTTTATTACAGTGCTGGGTGCGTGGGAGATCTTTCCTCCTAACATGCACACCCAGGGACAAAAGCACACTCATCATATACAAAAAAAAAAAAAAACATTCGTAGAAATTCTAAATAAACAATCATATAATTTCTAGCATTCATATAATTTCATTCCTCTAATTTCTAATATAAATTCTAAAATCTAATGCCTGTGAAAACCTCTGCGCAAGCGTACAGAATCGGGGAAGGGTCTCGGGTGGTTGTTTTGAAGTACAGACCTTAACTCACTTTACCCACTGATGGTCACAGCTCACAGTCTGGGCTGCTGCTCGGCACGCAGCCCTGCTGATCTTATCTACAAAGTGCACACAAAGGAGCCTGCTCCTTGTATCCTTTGTATCTGAACGGAATTGTTCACGTCTCTGGTATCAGCAGGTCTAACTAGAACCCTTACTTTATGACTTTTTCATTTTCTGAAAAACACACATCTCAGACAGCGGAACCAGAATCACAGAATCCCAGGGTGGAAGGGACCTCGAGGATCAGCTGGTCCAACCTTCCTTGGCAAAGGCCTAGACAAGGTGGCCCAGCACCCTGTCCAGCTGAATCTTAAAAGTGTCCGCTGTTGGGGGATCCACCACTGCCCTGGGGAGATTATTCCAGCGGCTGATTGTTCTCGTGGTGAAACATGTTCCTCTTGTGTCCAGCTGGAATGTCCCCAGCAGTAACTCGTGCCCACTTGCCCTTGGCTTTCCCCTGGGACTCCTTGTAACAAGGGAGTCTCCCTCTTCTTTGCAGCCCCCCTTGAGATGCTGGAAGCAGAAGAGCTGCCCAGGCTGGCACCAGAGGATCTGTCCCTGCTGAGCTCAGGGACTGCCGGCGGGACTGACAAGCTGAGAGCGGTGTCTGTGGGGCCAGTCACTGCCGAGAGCAGCGCCAGTCCCAGTCCCTCACCCTCACCCTGAGAATCAGCGCTGGCTAACGGGTGCGGGGTTTGGATCCCAGTCCACACTCCCGGGTTCTGTTTCTCTCGCTCGGCCAAGAGGCAAGTCCCTGCACCCCTGTGATCCCGGGAAATGGAGATGGGTCTGCTCTTCTTGGTACTCGGGAAGAAGTCACCCTAACTATTAACCAAGTAGCACCTGAAATCATAGCCACCTCCTCTGAGAGGCAAAGGTGCTGACGGTATTTAATTGCACTGGCACTTAATTTACATACAATGGTTTTATGACAATTGCAAGGTATAAGGTATCTTATTCAGCTGAAAAGGCACAAATGTTAAGCAAGCAGCACAGAATGACAACTGAAATTGCAGTCTGGGGAGAAATCTCAGGTCAAATCTAGGAGAAAACTTTCTCCCTGACCAAATAAGGATGTTTGAAAAAACTGAAGCCATAGTCATAAACATTTTGTCATAAACAAAGGCACAGCACATTCATCTGTAGAAACTTCTGTTCAGGTCAGAGAAAACACTCTTTAAACAAGTTACACTTCTTCAGCACTCCTATCAAATAAATATGACCTGTAAAATGAAGGTAGTGTGGTAAATTGAAAAAATAAACTACAAGAGGCATCTCCCATTAACTTTGGGCAATACCTTGCTGGTAACTGTTTCTGGCCCAAGAGACTTTCGGAACCAGCACCTAAAGCGGGCTGCCATTTGCCCTTTGCCCTCTGCCTCCCGAAAGAAGAGACTTCCCCAGGGGTGACCGAAGGTGGCTTGTACTGGGGAAAGCCTCCCCGAGGGGAACCCGTGTAAAACAAGCCTGGGGCCAGGCTGTGCCGAGGGGCAGCTGTCCTGCAGGCAGCGGGACAGGCCGGCAGTGACACTCTCTGCTCAGCACGCTGTGGGTGCTGCACAGCGCAAGGACACCGTGGGGTTGGGCTTGTCCCAGCTTTATTAAATTGCAGCCGTTTCCCCGAGGGAAGTCGCCCCTCAGCCTGGCTTAGCAGCACCAGCAGCACAGCGCTCGCAGGGTGCATCCTGGTGTCTGCTGCTGCGTTTGCGAGCTCAGGATGCAGACGGTCTGAGCGGTCAGGGAACAGATGGAGGGTTCTCTGTCATTCTGCAGGGGCTGCAGGGCTGGGAGCGAAAGGAACAGAGCCGAGATGAGCCCCTGTGTGTGCAGAGACCTCCCGGCATCCCCTCCAGCCCGTGCTCCCGACTCACCGGTGCAGATCTCGGCCAGCTTCTCCTGGCTTTGGTCCCTGAGGGGCCGCGCAGCAAGCCCTGGGCACAGAGCGTCGTCTGAGCGCCCGCTGCCCAGCACGCTCCCAGCAGCGCAGCCCCCGGCCCCGCCGGCTCGGCTGCACGCCCTCCTGCCCCTCCGCAGGGCTGAGCCCAGGGCAGGCCAGTAGCCGAGGCGGGGGGACCGGGCAAGGCGGCCACCAAGGCCACCGGCGTGGGCAGGGCTGGGAGAGGGAGGCCAAGGCCCTGCACGGGGCAGCCGGGGCTCTGGCAGCCCCAGGGCTGCTCCGCTGCCAGCGCAGCGGCGGGGGCTGGGGCCGGGCTGCCAGAAGAGGGACCCCGGGGGCTGTGGCTCACCGAGGAACCTGACGGCCGCCTCTCGCAAGGTGACCTGGTCGTCCTTCAGGTACAGCAGGCTCTGAGTCACGTAGTCCTCGGCCCTTTTCCTGTCCTGCACCAGCTGGAGAGAGCACGGGGCTATGGGCATGTCCCAGTCCCTCCCCAGTTTCCCAGAGCCCTCCCTCCCGCCGGGTGCAGGGAGGGGAGAGGCGCGTGGAGAAGAGCCCGTGGGGGCTCTGTGCTGGAGGACAGGGACCAAGGATGCGGCTCCAGGCTGTGGGCTCTGGGCTGGAGCAGGGAAGGCGAGGTGGAGCTGCAGAGCCCCCGGCCCCGACGCGGGGGGCAGCCCTCGTCCAACCCGGGCCCTGGGGTTTGAGGGTTGTCCTCACCAAGCACTCGCCAATCCTCCATGTCTGCTGGGTCTGTACCAGGTGTCTGAGCTTCTTCCACCTGAGGAGCTCTGCTGCAGCAAGGAGGGCTTCCCTGGAGGCCTGCAGAGCACCAGAAGCTGGGAGATGGCACCACAGCCTGGGCAAGGAGACCTGGTGTCCCCCTCCTCTTGGCTTTGTTCCCGGGGTGATCCCACACCTGGGAAGCTGCAACAGGCCCTCGCCCAAACAGATGAGGGTGCCTTCCCCACATCAGTGCTGAGCTTTGAAATCTGTACCTTGGCCACGAGCTGGCACTGGTCACTCATGCGAAAGAAGAGGGGAGCAGGCCCAGCCGCGCTTTCTTCCTCATCTCTTTCTTGGTTTTGCCCACCACGGTCTTCATCAGGTCTCTGAAGAGGCTGATGGAGAGCTCTCGCAGCTGGTTGAAGCCCTGGCAGGGAGAAGTACAGCGTGACTTGAGCAACCGCGGCTCAGCCTCAGCCCCTCGCCACGGGCTCTGGGGAGAACGTCTGGTCCTGCCCCGCAGCGCGGCTGGGGGAGCCCTCGGGGCTCTGAGAGCAGCTCTCCAGGAGGAGCTGGGCTGGGCTGCAGAACCCAGAAGCCATCCCCCAAGAGCTGGGGCAGAAAGGAGGGGAGCAGCCCCTGCCCCGAGTGCTGCTCGCAGGGCTGGGCTGCAGGGCAGCTCTCAGTGCCCAGTGCCCCTCTGCGGGGCTCAGGCTCCCCCATCAGCCTGACCTCGGCAAAGAGGGGCAGGAGGTGCTCCGCCAGCTGCACGGCGATGGGGCTGGCCTTCTTCTTCTTCAGGTGACCCATCACATTGCGG